AGCCCAGCCGCACTCACCCACGCAGGCCATGCGGGTCATGTCCAGCTGGAAGCCGTCGAAGCAGTCGCAGGTGTAGCCTTCCCGGACGCGCACGCAGCGCCCGTTCTCGCAGCCGTTGAGGATCCCGCACTCCTCAGCCTGCAGCCCCTCGAAGCCCTCGTAGAGGCCTGGAAGGTGGCAAGGCGGTGTCAGAGCAGGGTGACCCTCCGTTCAGCCACGAAGTGGACATAGGGCACATGGCAAGATGGTGCTGGTGGGGCCAGGACCGACTCAGAGCAGCCAGGAGCATCCTGGCCAGAGTGGGAGCTGCCAGGCAGTCCCCATGGACACAGGCTGGGTGGAAGGCACCACTCTGTGTCTCCCAGTACTCACCAGTTTGGCTAGGCAGGTAGTGGGGTGGGGATCGCCTTGGGCTGAGGTGGAGAGGGCCGCCACGAAACTCGCTGTTGGGTTCCCTCCGAGGGAAACCAGCATCAGGGTTCCCATACTCAGATTCCAGGTAGTTGTAGTAGGGGCCCATATCTGGGCTGGGAAGGCCATAGTGGGGGTCTTCCAAGCCCGGTCCGTACTCATACCTAGGTCTTTCTCGGAGCTCAGCCCCTCTCTCGCTGTCTTCACTGGCCCCATTACAGAGGAAAGCAAAATCAGCTGCCAGTGAGGAGAGAAAAGGACAGGTCAGTGCAGCCTGGCTCAAGACAGCTAGGTCACTACGGCTGGAGCGGGTGCGTCCACACTGGGCCAGCAGACCCAGGCCTGCGGTCAATGGCCTCCAAAGCTGCCACGCTATAGTTTGCTGACAAGACGTTGTCTTTGAGAAGACCAGCTCCTGTCCGGGGCCAGCAAGTCCTTGAGCCATGAGAACCCCAATTCCCAGTGTGCTCCCATCCTGCGCTGCCACTGCCTCACCTCTCCCAAGCTAAACAGGAGCAGTGGGATGCACAGAGCAACTCTCCCTTCAGACACCTTGCACTCGCTGCAAACCAGTTTCAGGTACGTCCTACCCACTGGTGCACCTCAGCCCCGGAGAGGCAGGGGGGTCACCCGCTCCTTGGGCTGGCTTCGGCAACGCGGACGGCAAGCGGAGCCCTCGCTGCAGCCATACGTGGCTGACGCTGCATGGCACAGCCGGCAGCGGCTCAGCCCATCCCGATTCTGCCAGGGGATGCTTGCCCATGCCACCCCACTCACCAGAGGACCTGTGTGGGCAGAGTGCGCAGTTCTGGCCCCAGGCTTCGCCGAGCCGGCAGCAGCACTCGGTGTACGTGGTCTGCTCGCCGTGCAGCAGGTCTTGGCAGATGTAGTCAGCGACGGTCTGCCAGCAGACGTCCAGGTGGATTTCGTACTCCTCCAAGGCATCTGTGAGTGTCACAAGCAAAGGATGCCATGAAAATCCTCCAGAAGAGTGCCACCCTCCTTGTCCTGAGAGGGATGATGACCCAGGGCTCCAGCTCCTGCCACCCCTGCTCTGGCTGCACACTGTGCTGGCACCGGCACCCCTCAGCTCGGCACCCACCCACTGCTCCCCCCCCTCAGGAGACCCAGCCATGGGGTGGGATGTGCGGGGCGCAGGCATGCTGCGGCAGGGTCTCGGGCTCACCTGCCCTGCCGGAGAGGTTCACACACCGGTTGCCGGTGGCATCCAGCACGAGAGGGAGACTGCAGAAGCAGTGGTAGGAGCCGTCTGTGTTCAGACACTCGCCGTTGATGCAGTACACTTCGTTTTGACACTCATCCTGGTCTGCCCACACACAAGGACAGAGTAACATTTTAGGCTGGCAGACACGGGCAATGCAACCCTTTCCCTCCCCAAACAGGGACCTCAGGGGCTCCTGCCACCTCCTCTCTCGTTCCCCAGGAGGGTCTCAGGAAGCCTGTCACCCAGACCCAGCCCTGCAGCACAGGCAGCAAGGACAACTCTGGGTGCAGCAGCACAGCTGTCCCTCCCTGTGCGGCGGGGTGCCCGCTACTCTTTGAGGTCATCTTACCAACGCACTCAAGCCTGCTGGAGTCATAGTAATAGCCTGTACGGCAGAAGCACTTGTAGCCTGGCACCGTGTTCAAACACTGTCCGTTGCGGCAGAACTCAGAGCCAAATATCTCACACTCGTCCATGTCTGAGAGAGGGATGGAGAGAGGGAGAGAGCGTCTCAGGGAGCAGAGCCATGGAAGCAAGGCGGGCTGGGTGCTGTACCCGCAAAATGCCGGCATGGCACCTTGGCCTGGATCACTGACAGGTCCCTGAGTGAGTTCCCCGCCTCTCCGATCAGCCCCATGCCTGGGAGCAGAGGAGGAAGCACCCACAGGCACAGCAGGAGGAGGGATGATGAGGAACAAGATACAAAGAGGAAATTCATGTGTGTTTCTGGAAGGTTGAGAATACAACCCACTGGAGGTGAAGTGCCAAGGATTGAGCCAGCCAGCCCCTGGGAACTCTGATCAGTAACTGGAAGGGTTGTGTCTTATTGGACCCACCCCTGGTTCAAAATGGTTATGGGACATTTGTACCAAGAAGGCATCACTGCCAACAGTGAGGCAGGACTGAGGGAAGGGACACTTCCAGCTCAGTGATACTGACAATCTGAGATTTCTCTGGATGGGGGAAAGCAGCAGCAGGATGTTAGCATTCCCCACCACAGCCCCAGGGAGATATTGCTGTGGATGCATCTCTATGGAGGGCTTTGCACAGTGCCTTCCCTCCTCCCCGTGGAAGACATGAGAGAAAGTGGTGCTAGTACCTGTGAAAGAGACTTTTCCTGAGAGCAGGTCTTCCCGGGGAACGTAACCCTTCCCAAGAGGGCAGATCTCTTGGTACTCCACTGGCCAGGAGGCAGATGCCGCGGGGAGATGGGAAGAAAAGAAGTAGCTCGTTAGTGCAACCAAGATGGAGCTGGTGAGCAGAGCGCTGGCTTTGCCTGGTGTGGTGGGGCCACAGTCCTACCTGTGCCTGGGATGGGGCAAGGGTAAGTCTCACAGTTGTCACCCCAGGCTGCCCCCACAGTACAGCAGCACTCCTCCTTGGTGATGTTCTTGGCCAGGACACTGTCACACAGGCGAACATCGCTGATGTGGTAGTAGCACTGCTTGCGCTCTGCGCTGTCAGAGAGGTGGTCTGCATGTGTCTCAGGGCCCTCTAGAAGACAGCAGAGCAGGGACAGGATGGGGTCCTCGGCACCCCAACGCAGCATCCCACACCTAGGAGGTCCCAGAGCACACCCATCACTGGCAGCGTAGCCTTCCCACGTCCCCACTTTCAGGCTCCTCAGCTCTCCCCAGGCAAAAGCTTGCCCATGCCTGCGTGGGCTTGTACAGCCCTGGTAGCCCCCCAGCTTTACCTCACCCCAGCCAGGGCTACCATGCTCCTGCTCTAGCTGCCACCCATGCTTCTGTCCTAGCTGCCTACTCACCCATGGCTGCTCGGGGCTGGCACTGCCCTGCCTCTGTGTCGTACTCCTCGTGGTCGCTGGGGCAGAGGCAGAGGAAGGATCCCTCCACGTTCTCGCAGAGCGCAGTCCCGCACACGGCGACCATCAGCTCGCACTCATTCACATCTGCAAAGCAAGCGGCAGAGGTGGCAGCTGGAGCCCTGCCTCTGCACGGGCAGCCTGTGCTGCATGACCTACAGTATGGGGTCACCCTTCAGCAGGGAGATGGAAGCTGCTAGAGATGAGCAGAGAGCTCTGCTCACACCGTGGCTCAACACAAATCTGGCAAGAGCTTCCTGCCCTGCTCTCAATGGATTCAAGGAGCCTGAACTCCAGCTTGCAGTGAGCCATTGGATCACAGGATCATCCAGGTCTGAAGGGACTGCTGGAGGTCTCTAGTTCAACTCCCTGCTCAAAGCAGGGTCACTTATGGGATCCCATCAGGCTGTTCAGGGCTTTGTCTTGTTGGGTCTTTAAAACCTCCAAGGATAGCAACTGCACAGCCATCTTGGGCATCTGTTCCATTGCCTGCCTGTCTTCATGTCTTCATGGTGAAAACACTTTTTATTGTATTACATCCTGCCTGTTCTCTCCAGGCACCCATTATAGTACCTCTCTAGCACCTTCAGTGCCTCCAGCCCCCAAGCACCTCCTTTCCACCTGCACAGAGAAGGGCTTCACATCCACTGGGAGCCGCTTGCTTTTTCACAGAGCCCTACTCCTTTGCAGCCCCAAGGATCTGCTGTGCTAAGTGGAAGGTTTTTGCCTCCATGAGCTGTCCTGTCCATGTCTGGGGTTCTCCATGTGGATGCAGCCCCTGCCCGTGCCCCAGGAGCCATCACACAGCAGGGATGCCAGCCTGGCATCCACCGATGGCTGTCCCTCACTGACTGGCAGAGAGATCGCAGGAGACTCACCAACGCAGTAGTGCCCGGAGGGTGAGCTCTCGTAGCCACGGTCACAGAGGCAGCGGAAGGAGCCGTCTGAGTTCTCACAGAAGCCGTGGCTCCCGCACAGCGTCTCGTTGGCGCACTCATCTATGTCTGCAGCAGAGCGGAGAGCAGGAATTGCCCCAGACCTCACCGCTCGCAGTGGATCCCCCCAGCCCAAGCCCTTCTGTTCTGACCCCAAGACCTGGGGATTGGGACAGGCATTCCCTCGACATGAGGGACTGAGTCTGGCTGCTCCACTCACTCCCCTCACTTCCCCTGGAAGTGTTCAAGGCCAGGTTGGATGGAGCTCTGAGCAACCTAGTCTAGTGGAAGATGTCCCTGCTTATGGGAGGGGGGTTGGAACTAGATGATCTTTAAAGTCCCTTCCAACCCTTACCGTTCTATGATTCTATGATCCATTCTATCATTCTGTGAGTGTGCATGTTAAGTAAAGCATCCTGCAACGTCCAGAGCTGTAGAGAGGCTACGTTGATAGAGCGACAGGAGCAGGGTGGGAATGGGAAATGGATGGGAAGCTCAGGAAGTGGCTGGCAGGGGCTACTGAGGGTAGTGCAGGTCCCTGCAGAGCCGAAAAGGGACACACAGCCTACAGACTCATGTCAGCAGGAGGTACAAGGGTGCAACTGAAGCGCGTGAGGCAAGTGCGGACATAACTAGGTTGATACCCTCCTGCCCCATTCTTCTTGACCTGATCCTTCTCCAAGTGCTATAGTGTCAGGGAGTAATCTCTGCCTTGCCCCAGCCCGGTGGGGTTGGACAGTCACAACTGGGTCCTCCGCCTGCAGAGGGCAGATTCACAGCCCTGCATCCTGCTCCCCTCCTACCACTGCACAGGGAAGATTTCCCTGGAGCAGGCAGAGCAGCCGCGTGTCCACAGCCCACCGCTCCCAAGGCCAGGAGCAGCTCCACATGCAAAGTCTGAGCCCTGGCAGCTGCTGCAGCCTTCCCTGAGCTGGAGGGGAGCCTCAAAAACTGCAGAAACCCCTCTTTCCTAGAGCATGAACTCCAAACCCAGACTCCCCAGCCTAGCACACAGTGGTACCAGCAGCTTTTCCCCCCACCCAGCCCTGCCAGGCAGGTGACTGGCACAGGCAGTAGCCCCCGCAAGCACAGCTTACAGGGAGCTGCAGTCCAGCCTGAAGCCTGGAATGGTTGTAACCTGCCCAGGACTCTCCCTGAGCGGAAAGCAGCACAATGCGGTGTCTGTTCCAGATGCCAGGAAGAGAGAAGTCTAGACACAAGCAGGCAGCTCAGCCAAGAAAACAAATTCTCAGCATTATCTGCTTCTCCACCAGCCACACGCTTCCTCCTCCTCCTCCTTCTCCCCCACAGCCCTGGCAGAGATATCCCACAGCCACCCTGTCATTGCCAGGAGGAGGGACAGGGACACCCAGGGCTGTACTCACCGATGCAGTCACCCAGGGGGGTCCAGTGGAAGCCGGGCTGGCAGCCCATGATACAACGGTAGGACCCCAGGCTATTCTGGCACCGCCACGTGCCACAGATGGCATCCCCGTATTCTTTACACTCATCCACGTCTGCAGGGAGGAGGGCAAGGGGGTGAGGATGCTTAGAAGGGGACCCTGCTTGCTCACTGCAGCACCTGGGTCAAGTTCAGTTGGCCAGAGGCCCTGAGCCATTGATAGTCCTCCGTACAAGTCACCAGCAACTTTGGGTGCTGGGAGCAGAACTGCCCTCCCCCTCTGCACCAGCTGCATCCATCCCCCCAAGTCCCAGGGGGCTGATCTCCCCAGTGATGAGCTCTCACCCACGCAGTCATCAGTCTCCTGGGAGTGTTTGAACCCGTTTTCACACAGACACCTGTAGGAGCCTTCTGTGTTCAGGCACTGGCCTTGCGAGCACCGGGACTTGTCTGTGCATTCATCTACATCTGCAAAATCAGGCCAAAATAGTCAACCTGGATCTCACAGCAGGGGAGGGAGCAGAGGGCAGGACCTGTAGTGTGTCCCTGTCATCCTCCAGCTCACCTTGGCAGCTGACTCCGCCAGCCGTATTGGAGAAGCCAGGAGCACAAATGCAGAAGTAGGATCCGTGACTGTTGAGACACTCACCATTGGGGCTGCAGATCTCGCTGTTCAGGCACTCGTTCACGTCTGCAGAGGGAGAGAGTCAGGGCCACGCACCCAGCCCTGGGGGACATCCTTCACCAAAGCCAGACAGATTCCCTCTCCTCAGTGTCTGACAGGCAGCCCTCATAGGGCTTCTGGCCCCTCGTTTTCTCGCCAGGGAGACAGAGATCTTCCCTGTCCATGGTGATCCTGCATTTGGCTACAGTGTTATTAGAGTGCCATGCATGGTGGAATCACCCTCCTAGGCACTGGCATCCCCCTGCCAAGAAAGCAGGTGGATCCGTAGGGAAGGTGTATGTCCTGGACCCAGAGGGCTACAGGGATGGGGTTCGTACCCTTGCACATGGTGCCGTTGATGAGCTCGAAGCCGGCCTGGCAGTGGCACTCGTAGGAGCCCGGTGTGTTCCTGCATTCTCCCCCCAAGCACCGAACAGCAGGGTCCTCACACTCATCCATATCTGCCAAGCAGAAGAGCACAGCACAGAGTGAGTCTCCAGCTCTTGCCGCTGCTGGAGAAGATCTCCACCACCCAGAGAAGCTATCACCCAGCTGTTGGCGTGCAAGGTACGTTTGAGCTGCCCTCACAGACCATCCTGTCACAGTGAGATGAGGGCAGGGACTCCCTGTTACTGGGGCGTGAGGAGCCAGCCCAGACCCTTCATCCCCCTCCGTCACAGGGACCAGGATAAACTGGATTCCAGCACCAAGTCACTGGTGTCCAGTGGCAGGACCAGAGGCAATAAGCACAAACTGAAACACAGAAGGTCCCATCTGAACATCAGGAAACACTATTTTACTGTGAGAGTTACTGACCACTGGCACAGATTGCCCAAAGAGTCTGCCTCCTTGGAGATATTCAAAAGCCATTCGGACATTGTCTTGGGCAACCAGCTCTAGGTGGCCCTGCTTGAGCAGAGGGGTTGGACAAAATGATCTCCAGAGGTCCCTTCCAGCCTCAGCCATTCTGTGATTCTGTGAGCACAGGAGTACTGCTAACACCAGTGTCCACGTCCAGCAGAGCTCTGCACTGGGTACCACAACCACCAAGAGGGCAGTGCGGAGCCACAGTTGCTGACAAACCCTCTTTTCAGCCAACGGCACAAGAGCAAACATCAGGAAAGTAACCTAGCACCAGCCATGCCTTCTGCAGCTCTGCTCTCCTACCTGCCAGATTTGCCTACAACGTCCTCCTCCTGGCAAAGCTGGCTGGGGGCCTACATCAGCTCTTACCCAGCTGCAGACCTCCCCACAAACCCTCTCCCACCCAAGCCCCCTAGGCCTTAGCCAGAGCCTGCTGGTACTCTGAGGATTTTGCTCACAGCAGAGGAGAGAGGGGTGCCTTCTGTCTAACAGAGGGCTGCCAGATGCCAGCAGGCTGCCCTTGACTGCAGGTCCATGAGGTAGGGTGAAGCACTGGGGGATGCTGCTAATCAGAAGGATGGGCTGGTGTGCAGGCAACAGAAGACATGCTAGTGGAGAAGCTGCTGCTGTACTCTTCCCCCCTGACAGGAGCTAAAGCCCTGAGACTGGCAGCTCCTGAGGGCAGGGCAAGGACCTTCTCTTCCCCTTCCCAGAGCACTGAGCATGCCATAGGCAGAAAGGAGCATGGCTCCCTAGTGCCTCAGGGCAGGATTCCCAGCTGTTCAGTCTCAAAGGGTTGCAAGTAGCAATATTCTTGAATCCTTCTAGAGCTGAACCATAACCTAGTTTATTTATCACAAAACTATCACAAAACCCTTATCATTTTTCAAATATGAAACACAGATCCACAGACAAGGCCACCAGCCAAGGCAGGAAGGAACGTGCCATCCTGCCACCAGGTCAGCGTGACCCAAACAGTGGCGAACCCTGATAAGGTGCCCTTGTGACATGGCTGGGGCAAGGTGGCCGAGAAAGGAATTTTGGGAAAGGAGGAGGGCAGATGGAAGGGATCAAACTATGGTTCTTCCACTGCACCCAAAAATCAGATGGAAAACCAGCTCATTTCACACTGGTTTTCTTAGACACCAAAACAGAGGAGAATAGTGGGAGGAAAGCCTTCCTCTCCTCCCCTACTGGAGGCCCCCATGCAGGGGGGTCTTCTGAGAGTCACATCAAAGGCAAGATCTTCTGTTTGCCAGCTATGTGCAGGCTGCAGAGCTCTGCAGTGCTCCAGAGAGAAATTCACAGCACATGGCCAATCTTTAAACAAATACCTTTGACAGCTCTGCCCTCTCCCTTCCCTTGCCCCAAACAGGGAATTTGCATCAAGCCATCTCAAGCCTAGGATGTCCCCTGGGGGCAGCCATCAGGGAGGCAGTTTCCCTGCCTCTGCTGGGACAAGGCTAGGAAAAAGCGCTCTCACGTCGTGGCAATACGACCAACACAGATGGATGTTGGTGTTAACTCTCTGCCACGTGCACCTGGCACAGCAGAGCCCTTGAACTAAGCCTTCCTTTTTAAACATGCCAAAGTTACATTAGGGGTTGGGGAAAAATGATGAAACCTGGGTGGCCACAGTCTCTCACTGGCTGCGGACCCGAGGTTTCTCCCTCTGTTGAGGACCTACATTTGGGGCACATGCTCCCAAGCCCACAGTGCTGAACTGAACCACACTCAACTCCTCTCTGCCCATATTCCAAGCCTCCTGTACTTCTCTGGCCTTTGTCAGCATCCCCTGTGTCATCATTAGTCCAGGAGTCTCATCGAGTCCTTCCCCCGCATCCCTTTCCTGCGTGAGGAAGATCACCTTCCTGCTGCTCTAGGTGACACCCCCTTGTAGCCCCCCATGCTCTCCACTGACCAGAGAGCTAAAGAGCTGCAGCAGGATCCTGAGGCTAAAGAAGTCCCCAGGCCCTGCGAATAACCCAGCTATGGCAATGTCTCTTCCCTCACTCCCTGCAGCACTCGCTTCTCTGCCCCTGGGAAAGAGATACCTTCACACGTGCGGCCATCTCTGGAGACGGCGTAGCCGGCGTCACAAGCCATGCAGGAGTAGGAGCCCTCGGTGTTGAGGCAGAGTCCGGAGGGACAGGCAGCCTGGGCTGTGCACTCATCGATGTCTGCATGAGCACACAAGGGAGGGGGGGATGAGTGGGAAAGATGCCGAGCAACCATGACCAGGGGCAGGTGCTTTGAGAGAACCAGCCAACATGGTGGCCAGGACTTGGACAGAGCCAAGTGAGCCCAGGGAAACCTCTGAACTGGGTGCATGACACTTCAGAGCATCTGGACTCACGGCTCCCTGGTACCTTGGCAGCTCTTCCCATCAGGTGCCACCTCATAGCCCCGGTAGCAGGAACAGCGGAAGGAGCCATCCAGGTTGACACACCATCCGTTAGCACAAGTCCCCTCCACAAGGCACTCGTCCACGTCTGCGTGACACAGCAGAGGGCAACGTGGCATGGGGGGGTGCTCGGGGCCAGCCCTACCACCCAAGCCACGAGGGTGCTGTGTCCTGGCCACGCCGGCTTGCTGC